TCAACACTACAGGCCGAGTGAAAGTCTATGTCACGCTTTCCCCTCTATTCCCTGTCTCCAGTGGCATGCGAAAATCTTTCCCAATGTCACAGTTTCCATTCAACATTGTAATCGATGTTGTCCTTTTGGGAGCTTTAGTGAGACTGCAGAACTTCAGCGTCGAGCTTCTTCTAGGTAATCACGCGACCGACTTAGACTACGCTGATGATATCGCCTTGCTCGGTGACGACCCCCATGGGATGCAATCGTTCATTGCTCGATTGGTGATTCAAGCGTCTAAGTTTGGTATGTGCTTTGCCCCCTCAAAGTTCAAAGTTCGTCTACAGGACTGGCAAGCACCCCTACCCCAATTCACCATCGAAGGCACATAGCTCGAACTCGGAGCTAGGTTTATCTACCTAGGGAGCTGCGTCTCTGCCGACGACACTATTGGAGCAGTGGTATCCCTCCGAGTCGCTAAAGCCCGGTCAGTGTGTGCCAACTTAAGACATTTGTGGCGCCGTCGCGACATTTCACTCTCGCTAAAAGACAGGGTTTACAAAGCTTTTGTACGTGCGATATTGTTGTACGGATGCGAATCCTGGCCAATCCGTGTGGAAGGCATGCGTCGTCTTTCGGACTTCGAAAGTAGCTGTTTGCGGAGGATTGCGTGCGTATCTCGGCAACGCGAAAGTTGCGCTTTGTAATGTCGTCCGGCTGCGTCAATTGAGATGGTTTGGCCACGTCCCGCGCATGCTTAACGAGCGTTTACCACGCTGCCCCCTGTTTGCGCACGCGGGGTTACTTTGGAAAAGCGCGTAGAGGTCAAATGTCCACCTGCCGACAATGCATGAAATCGATGACTTCTTTCCTGACCATCGCTAGCCCAGTTCGACTTACCGACTGGGAACCAAAGATGAAGAGTGCCAATGGCTCACAACGCTGGAAGCAATGGCGCAAAACCGGTCGCAGTGAAAGCAGTGCGCGCAAGTCTGCCTGATTTCACGTTTACAATCACAAATACTTAAAAATCGCAAAAGTTTACACTATGACGTGTGTAAATCTGCAAAAAAATTGTTCTGCTTTTTATCCATTATCAAGACATTTTACATGTTTTGTACGTTTTTTGTTCCTAATTCCATGGTTTTTCTGTCTCGGTGCCTATTTTCTAGACTGTTGGCTATATATATATATATATATATATATATATATATATATATATATATATATATATGCACCTGTCTATGAAATAAACATTGTACCATCGAAAACCATGCTGCAAATTTTGGTACTAATTGCAGTGTTCAAAAAATAAAAAAGGCACAGAATAGCTTTTTGGGATTTTCGCACGCTTTTTGTCTTTTTTCAGTTTATTGATTACGGTATTGTTCTGTAGATTCAATGCATAGACTTATGTAAACCTTTCATTGGCGCCGAGTGCGCGCAATGTCCTCAAAAATTTTCAACCTGTGCTGTTCTTCATCCCTGACTCCGTTTCATAGACGTACGGGACCGACTACAGCTAGACTGGGAGCCAGCTCCTTGACCTTTTGTCACCACGTACTAGGTTGGCCACCGCGCGATTTCTTCCAGTGCGTCCCTGGGCTAGCGAATAGAGCGCGTCATTGTAAACGCTCACAAGCATGTGTAGGACGTGACTTCGCCACCAAAGTTGACCCAGCAATATCAGCTTACCGAGAGGGTGACCCGTATTACGCAGGACGCGGCGTCTAACATTCTCGTTGCAAATGGGGTGCTCCCACCACACACAAGCTATCCTTCGTAGACAACTGTTGTCGAACGCCGAAATCCGACGCAAATCACTTACACGGATCTGCCAGGACTCGTTCCCGTACACCAAGACCACGCGAACAGGGGCACTGTAGACACTGCCCTATGCCGGGAGTGACAAGTCACCTCGACGCCACAGATGTCTCAGATCAGCGAAAGCTTATCGGGCTTCGACAGTAGGGAGAGAAATCACCCTACTAATTATACTATCAGAAGAGATGCAACTCCCAGGGTAGCTATCTATTTGTTCAAACTGCACGCCTTCACGAATCAGCACGGGGAAGGTGGGTGCCAGTCCTAAAGTATGACCTTGCATTTCTATGGAGCGAACTTCATGACTCACTTTGTAGCTTTAACCATCAGGCGGTATAGAACGACCTGCATGATATGTGGGTCCTCACCGAGTAAGGCAGTATCATCATCATAGATCGAGTCAGTTGCGCGGTTGCCTGCAATAAGCTCTTCGCCAGAACGCTGAAGACCTTCCAGAGCAGTTAATAAGATATCATCATTTGCAAAGTTGAAGAGAAACGTGGACATGGGGCCACCCTGTCGCACACCGCCAGTAACGGCGAAAGGTAAATGGAGCTTACCGTAATCCCTTACCCTAACAAAGACATTGTTATATAAAACTCGAAGTATGGCGGTATACTTTTCTAGAACCCCGTTTCTTTGTAGGCACCGCCATAAAGCAGACCGATCGACTGAGTCGAAGGCAGCTCGAATGTTTTCAAATGCGACAATGGTAGGCTGACGATAAAGATACCGCTGCTCGAGGAGTTGGCGGAACGTAGACAGGTGGTCCACACACCTCCGACCGGGACGAAGCCAGCTTGTTCCTCACGCGAGTGTAGTTTTCCTATCGTTATTCGTCTGCGCAGTAGAATAGATGTTAGCAATTTAGAGGCGCCGGGGATTAGTCTGCTCCCCCTGTGCTTGGCGCATGAGATACAACCGCTCTTTTTGAAGATGGTTACGATAATCGTATCGCTCCAAGAGGATGGAATATTCTCCTCACATCTGATGTTGGAGCATAGGGTTGTTAACTATTATGTCGTCTCCATACTTGAACAGCTCCGGAGGAAGTCCGTCTGAGCATGCAGCTTTGAATCACTTCAAGTGACGAAGCTCAAGACAAATATCCGCTTCAGTGGGTTGTTCCAGCGAAGCATTCCAAGGCACGCAATTAGGCACCTTTGTCTAACAACCAGAAAGAGAGGCCAATTCAACTGAGAGTTAAAGTGCTCAGCCCAGCGGTCCATGCGCCTACGCAAATAACTGATTCGGGATCCATCAACCTTGCAAATAGCTTCTCTGACGCCAGGTCTTCTGTGGCCAGCGGTCTGATTGATCTGGAAAACTCAAAAATTTCAAAAGTTAGCTGATGTTTCCATCTCGGAAGCGCGCTGAAACCAACGGGTTTCGTAATCGTTACGCAGGCTTTGCTTGAGTTTTTGACTGAGGTTGCGGCGCACTTCATTGCAGCTTGAATCAGTCCAGTGATTTCACAGTATGGTTGAACTGAAGAAAACAACGCCTGCAAGAAATTCCAGTGCTGTTCGATCTCTGTAGGTGGAGCACTGGCAAGCACCTTTGATAAGGAGGATTGATAGGCCAGTTGAATGGAGCGTTTAGCTAGCCTGTTAGAATCCAGCATATGGTGCTTAGGTTTCGAGGAACCACCAAAGCACATGCAGATGTCCTCAAAGGAGGCCTAGGGACACGGAGTATAGACAATAAATAAATAGACACATAGAGTGAGCATTATGTGTCATCAGGTTCCTTTTATGTCGTTTTGCAATTTGTTGTTTCCAAATGGCTTTATTGATGAACGAAAACTATCCACAAATCTGCAAACAGAGTTTGTGTTGCATGATGGTTAATATATGATAATCCATACTGCAGCACGCGCAGTGAGCATTCTGAAACCATGCATGCGAATCATGTCAGGTTTCTAGAATCCTTCGCTCGTGCTCTGTGAAACATATAGCTTTGTGAAGCTCTGAGGTCAGGAGACTGTCCCAATAAATTGGGGTCGCTCCATCAGATCCGCTTTTTACTGAACATAACATGTTTACTTTCGACAAAGCGAGGCATCCATTTACAGGCATGATAATATTAAGATAAACGAGCGTGATTAAACGTGTACAAAAATACACCATGTTTGCTGTATCAGTGAATATTTGTGTAGGGGTGTGTATATCTATGTACTTGCGTATGTATGTAGTGCGTGCTGCATCCCTGACGGTTTGATAGCATCGGTAATGTGAGAATTGATGACTGATGTCTGTGATTTTGATAATATTAAACGCATATTCACGAGACAGTGACTTTAGTCTGTGACGAGTCACGACCACCACGTCGCAGTGTTGGTAAACGGAAATTTGTGGCTTTTATTGGGAGAACGTTTGTCAGACGAAAACCCACCACGTCATTGAACACTGCCGTCGAACCATTTGCTGGAACGGGTTAAACCTAAAACCGCCAGCTGGCACCACGAGATTGTTTGGCTAGCGAGCCACGTCCGGAATGCGGCAAACACAGAGGGATCAGCCTGATTTCCATTGCCTCTGTTGTCCTCCATAGTCTGACTGGCACCAATGACAACCAGCTTTGCGGGCATCAGGTTGGTTTTCGTCGAAATAAAGGCTTCATTGACTGCGTCTTCACTTTACGTCGGCTGTTGGAACACCGCCATATTTATTGACGACCCACCGTAGTCGCGTACCTGGACATCAAAGGTGTTTTTGTTTCGGTTGATCCGTGTGCCCTTTTGGACTCTGGTTAGTTTTGGTGTACGCAATTACTAAAGCGCCTTACGCGCACCGTTATTCTATTTTCCTTCGTCAAGGTAACCGCTTCCACCACACAGTTTATGGATCATCATTTGATGAATTAAGCTGGTCTGCAACAGGTTTTTGGATCAATGCTCATTGTCATTCTCCTTCTTTTGGTGTTTTCTGATCTATCCAAAAGTGTTCCGTTGATTCCTCACTCTTGTATTTATCTTTGCTTTTCGTGTTGTGCGTACTGTTTGGCCCGTTTCCTAACTTGTTTGATGCTTTGCTTATTTCAATTTCTGACAACGGGCTAGCCCGCACTTTCGTCCTTAGTGTTGTACCTTTATTTGCTAATTTATCCTCTTCAGGTTTTTGACTCCATTTTTTCTTACCCTTCCCACTGATTTTTCTTCATCACATGGGCTACTCATCGAATCATTCATTTTAAAGAGTTGGTGACGCGGCCAATTATGTCTACGTGGTACTCAGCGGTCGGTTGCGTCAAGTCGACAGCCTCACTGGAGGTGGCCATCGCATTGCTGGCGAATCGGGACGCGGTGACATGGTCGGTTTTCTGGAAGTTATCTGTTCACAACGACGTGTTCACACCGTCATAGCCATCCGGTAAGCTGGGCGCATGAACTGTCGCAAGACGATTTTATCACTTTGAGCAGTGTCTTATGCTCGTAAATGCTTTTATTCGTGTGTCTTATTTATGAGATATCTGTGTTTCAAATCCTACATACTAGAGTCAATTCTTGTTGTACTACTCCAGGGACCATAATGTTTCTCCCAACCGCTTGCCGATTGTCACGTAGCGTTGAGTTACCACCATTACCATCGCCAGTCTTACTCGTGCGCCTGATATAGCTACTCGTTTGCTCTTTTGTTCACCTAACACACCCACGACACATGAGCACCGTCACGTGAAATGTGCTGTTTTGATGCCAAGGCACCAGATAGTATTTCAACTGTTTTGCTTGCCTCTAAAATTTCAACTTAGCCTTCTCACACTGGACTAATTGTCTGTTTTTTGAAGATTCACTTCTACAGTGAACGATTTGGTTAGCCTGTTTCGTCTCATCAAACCTACGACCAAAGCATTGAGTCCAACCAAATCGCGTCCATTGGGTTCAAATGCAGCTTTGCGTTTCTCGCCCTTTGTCAAATGTTGCTGTCTAGTGCCCCTCATAATCCAGCGTTTTTAACCTTGAGCCATTTTTGTCATCTGTTATTTTGAAACTTGATTGTGTGATGTGCACGTAACATTTTTCGTGCTATATGCCTCATGTTTTTTCGTTGGTCATGCTTCATGAACTCAATTGGTCCAGACTTCTCTGCAATAAGGACTGTTAACGCGGGGCTTTGTGAATAGGTGTTTTGAGTCAAGGGGCTTAAACAACCACCTTGTTAGGAAGCTGCTGTCCATCTGGGCTTTTTTATTATTATCACCAACCCACAAGAAGACCTTGTCTTCATTGTCACTTCTCATCTTTATTTCTCCTTCTTATGGTAATGAACAAGAAATCAGCTCTGAACTCGTCACACACACATGAACAAGCAATCTGTGTCAATCTTCTGACGGAGACTATCATTTTACATTTAATCTTCTGGTGTCTATAGAGTTAGGCTGCAAACAACATTCACTCTTCCTCCACCTCCTTTCAGAGTTCAGATGTATCTTGTTTCTGAAATCGACATAGTTGGCATCAGCTCCATGGTACATCTGCACTGACTCGGTTTACTGGCCTTACGTCAGCAGCAATGTCGGCTCGATGTCTCTCTGCTTTCGCAGGTTCAGTCTCTTTTAGTGGACCTAGAGACTTCTGTTCTAGAAGGGACCACCTTACGAAATGTTGATCACATATGGTGCAAGCATTGGGTAGTCTATACTGAAGCCAGCGAATTGGCATTTTCAGGAATGTAAAAGATTTCTACTGCACTGCATTGTTTGCTGAACTCGAACTTCGTAGGTTGATTAGGTCATGTCCTACTTATGCATGCTGATCGCCTATTACGGTCTATGTTATGTATCTTGGCTTCATCTTGCTAGCAAATGTTATGACGTGGACAGTTGGTTACGTGGCAAAAAGCTTGGCGTGCTTGATTAAACGACCTGATCAGACTGTTGCCTACCCTGTTGATAATTGGAAGGATCGGAATGCATTGCATCAATGATTTGATGTCTTATACTGCATGGTGCAGTTATACAGTCAGCGGATCCCATGCATTCGGTTTCTCCCATCTCATCGTTAATTCTGCATTCCGACTAATCTCGTTCGCTTTTCTTTACATACTGCTTGCGTCCCATCCCTGTTTCCGGTTAATTATTCTTTTCTGGGCTGCTCAAACCATGGATTCCCCGCACTTCGGTGCTCTGGTTGCAGTTTCATAGCTGAGCTAAAGTGAACGAGTCCTCGTGATGTCCGCTTGTCTTTTTTGACTATGGAGTCCAATTCAAATCAATAAGCAGAGGCCGCAGGCAATGCACCTACTTTTTTTCTTTTCGTTCTCCGCCTGTCAAATGTCTGCCCCGTACTTTTAGGGATCATAAGCCTGCTTTGTAATCATGAGGTCGCGAGTTCGAGCCTGTGTAAGGAACCGGACCACCCTCACAATGTCCTTACCCCACACACAACTGATGGTGATTACGCGGCAGCAAAGCGTCCATACAGGCGTACTGCTGATGCCTTTTTTGCTTTCTTTAAGAATGAATTTTATGTGCCGCTTCCATCCTTAATTCGTGTATTTTGCCAACCTATTGATGGTTTTAAGTGGTGTGAATCATCAGTTCGGCCGCTTACCGTAGTCGGACTCTCATGTCATCAATCTCCCGATTACTGTTGTCAACCACACTCACTTCACTTCAGTAACAGGTGCAACAAGGGTACCAGGATGATCCTCAACCTTGCGGCAGTTGGAATGGCGGCATCGACGTCGACATGTGAGGACACAAAGCTGTATTTTCAATCAGTTTCCCTATGATCGCTGTACTTATGAACAGTGTTGATTTCATGACATTGACCACTCTGGCTATCTAATGGTCTTTATGTAAAAGTAACATAATGTTTCGTGGCACAGACGGTAGCCTTACCTTACCGGTCCATCAAGTCGACTGACGTGAACAAGTTAGTTACCTTCGATCCTTGCTGCCTTCACAGCTTAGCTCATGTCTGGTAAGAATACCACGTGAGCGGTGAACATGTTCGATGTCGTAGTTTGGTGCACGAAGAGCAGTTGAACCGTTCAGCACCGTTATATCACGCACCAGGCTCCGACTGCTTGACAATATATTGCGCATGCCAGCATACCGACTCGCCCGACATGCGTTGTTTGCACGGCTGGGGTCTGAATGGAAGAGGTCAAGCGATGACTTGGTCCAAAAGAATGAAACCATCACTTCGAGCAGCGTTTATTAGGACCTCCCGACTGCTGAGTTGGGGTCCGAACTACGATGAACACGTTTGGCTGGTATACTCTTTAACATGGCGAAAAACGACCTCAGTAGCGTTTGTGTTGTGATTTTCTTGCACATACAGTGTATTACTTGATAAAGCGATACAGTCCAACTCAGTGGTCAGGTCAAATAGCTACAGAATGCGTGATCGCATAAACTGGATGGCTGAACGTTTTTTGTGTTATTTTCAAATGAATTTAGAATAAAATGACGTTTGGCTTATCAGAAGGATTGATAAATTGAAAACAATAGCAAAGTGAGACACGGACAAAGGTTCAGGTAAAGTAATACGGCTATCCGTTGAACCATCTCTACGAGACCTGGTTCTTTGCAGGGTATTCCCTTGAAATGTTTCACTCACACTTCCACGTCTCATCTGGCCGTGTGCCAGAGTGGCCTAGTAGCATGTATGCCAGCATCTCTTCTACACATCCCGCTTATCTTCCCCTCCAACCACGATCTTTTCTTGAAGCATAATATATTACTAAGTAGTACGTTACAAGTTCTTTATGTGCTATAATTAGTATCTCGTTTTTTTCTTATAACTTATCTTTTTGTATTGGGCACAATAGTTAAAGTGGGCTCCTCATTTTCAGCTAACATGATGATGGTCAACGTTGGCTTAAACAGCAACCACTAAACGAAGACCTACCTTTGATGCAGCTTCCTCACATCATCACTACTCATAGATAGTTATCAGTCGAAAATTGTCCGTGGATGTGTAACTCTCACTTTGAGCACAGCTTCGCTTTCTTTTGCGTTGGCACAGCGTTCATTGTCCCTGCTTCGGTGAAAGGGGTAATTCAGGAGGTACCTGCTTGTTCTCGCGGTGCTGCAATATCGATTTGTAGTGCATCGATACAGGTGACTAGGAAATGAGGTCGACAAGGTGTACGCGGATCGGAATCTTCTTCAACATGACATTCAAAAGACATTCCAAGCCATGTACGACGCTGCTTAAAGCATCTGAATCATAATTTAGCTTTTGTGACTGACTTGTTAGACGCAAGCGAGCGGTGTGAGGAAATCGGTTTCCTAGCACAGGAAACACCGTGCAATAGTGTCTGACTGGTGCTCGATTTGAAACGCTGAGGTATAGAGAGGATCCGTGAGATGCCGAAGGCTGGCCCTTTGGTAAACAGCCAGCTGCTGGCGCTACTCATCCGACACGTGAGTGCACGTAAATTTTCTATGAGGCAACAGCTGATAGAAGGAATGTTCCGTTCATTTCCTACTACTGAATGTGGCACTTAAAAGAGTGGTGCAACTGATCTGGTTGTCATATACGTTCATAGAGTGATTCAAGGTAGTTTCTGGTGTTAATGTCGTGGTCCGCATAACGAATTAGATACATTGCGAGCTGGCGCTACTGAGATAGGTAACACCTCGATGACTCTCATCCATCGTTACTGCGAGACCGCATCAAATCAACGGTGACTGGTTCATCCACCTTAGTTGAAGCGCTTGGATATGAAGAAGGGATGCTGCTTGCGTAACCTTTGTTGACCCGATAGACGCCAACTGACACACAGAACTCTTGTTTCGAAATTGCCGATACAAAGTTGACTTTACTCCTGCCACTGTCCGCTAGTTAGAAATTTCCCTCGATATGTTGGTCTGACCTGGATTATCGTATAGGTAGACTAACTTCCTTGGAATTCTTTCTCCGGACAAGCAGAACTTGGTCCGGGTTTTTTCCAATGCATATCAGCATGTTTAGTTCCTAGCAGTTCGACATTAAAATGAGCAATGTTGGAGCAATGATGGTATACTAGATAGAACAACTAGCTGTGTCGAAGTAGACAACGACAATGCATCTCCTGGCGTGGTAACATCAATAGCCTCTGCTTCTGGCTCCGGCACAACGCCCCAGTCAAGATCAGGGAAAAAATCTTTTACCTCTAACACCGAGGCTAGCTTCCTAATGGAATCGGATACCCCCTATATCGCACCTATGGCGAGACCTCAGCCTGGTGAACATTCAGTAAGCAAGGGCGCGAATACCAAGAAAAGAACCGGTCGTAAAAGTCAAGCTACACGCACAAGCGACCTACTAACCAACGGGAACAAAGTGCCGTCACAGACCGACATTTCATTCGCGGTAATGACGAGTGCTTACGAAGATTCACCAAATTCACGATCCTCGAATTCCTTCCACGCCACTTGTAACAAAACACTTCAGACCAAAAACACTACTTACCACACTAGTAAGACTGAAACCAGATGGAATTATCTTCTGGACAAACCCACGCACCGCTATCCAGCATTTGTCAATAATACTCGAAACATTAATGACAGTTGGAAAAACTGGACAATGCTGCCCAGTGCCTCACCTGAGACCTACGCTGGAACCCATACTCCACCAGTTTCCTTCGATCATTTTTTAGGAGATGTGGGAATGGCTTCGCAGCCATTCCCAACAATAGCACATCCGGCCGATACCAACTTCATGGCCCAGCTCTTCCTACAATTTATTCAGATGACACGGCTAGCTCAGTATCATTCCAACCAGAGCTTTCACCCAGCGCCTCATCATCTTCCTTACTCCAACTTCCGACAGAACTCACAAGGGATGCATTGTCCTTATCTCAGAACGTCGTAGCAGTAGGCACGACTGCTTCATCTCTACACTCTCTTCCTCTGTCCACAGATCTCCATCCCAGCACTCTTGATACTTCCGAACCAAGCAGTGAACTCCTGTCCACTGACCCCGATAATACATCTATAACATTATTTAAGCAAGCACTAGAACTCGCTGATAAAACACATGCCATGCATGTCCTACTTATAAATGCACGTTCCCACAGGAACAAAATAATTAGCTTAAGAACACTTGTCTCCCTCGTGAACCCACTAGCTATATTGGTCACTGAAATATGGCTAAAGGAGGATACCCCTGAGTCGGTTTACCATATCTCGGGTTACAAAGCTTTTATCGGTTGTCGTAAGTCTGGTCTAGGTGGTGGCTGCGCCATCTATGTTCGAAATGCTATTCACGCTTCGGTATCGCCTATCCAAATACAGGGACGATTCGAAGACTCCGTTTTTATAGACGTTATAGTTGATAATCTTCTCATCATTATCAGATGCATCTACCTACCGCCCAATCCTAACCTCGTTGAGATAAGCGCGTTACAGAGCGTTTTATGCCATCTCGCGTGCCAGTCCGCGAATCGCAAACTAGTCGGCGGGGACTTCAACATGCCTGATCTGTCGTGGTCCTCTAACGACGTCCCCAATAAGTTTAAAAGCTTCATCGCCACTATGCATGTATGTGGATGGACTCAGCATGTCTTATCTCCCACTAGAAAGAATAACATATTAGATTTGATATTTACTATCGGCTTCACTGCAGCTTCCACCGAGATACTGGGACATCTTCCCGGTAGTGATCATAGAGTGATCACTTTCTCATTCAGTATCAATGCTCAGTTGTCAAAAACACCCTCATCAAAAACACACATGACTATCAGCTCCTACAAAACCGCTGACTGGGGCCTTTTTGCAAGCTTTATAAGATCGGCGCAGTGGGACACATTCTTCCTTGCTAGCGACCCTCAGACTGCAGCAGATGAGTTATATAACAACATCCATCGGTCAGTAGATGTGTCGATTCCGCGAAAGCATATAAAACTACCTGTCTCTGGAGAAAGGCCTACACAACACAAATTAGCTGTAAAGCTCAAAAAGTTGCTCAAGGTGTATCGTAAATCCAATGATTTCTGTTTCTTAATAAAGCACCAGCAATTGGTTACTATTAAGGAGAATGCCAATCAGGCCATGCTGATTGATAAAGAAAAACAAGCACTCGGTAGCCAAAATAGAAAACAGGAACTATTCAGATTGCTTAAGCGCAAGACCGCTAAACAGAACCTAGATGTTATCTCGCTTATGTCTGCAGATAAATGCTTAGTGAGTGACCCGACTTATACCAGCGAAATGTTCAACAACTACTTTGCTGCCTCGTTTAATGAATGTAGTGATCCTGCGACCCTGGATCTGCAAAATCACACGAATGATCAACTCAGCATCATCACATTCAATCTGTGCGATATCCATAAGCTCATAAAGTCCACTAAAACCTTTTATTTCACTGCTCCGGACAATCTCCCATCTGCTGTCATAAAATTCGGGGGAGATGACATCCCCTTGCTGCTACTTAATATGTTCACCTTATCTATGAATTCTGGTATCATACCGGCTCAGTGGAAGGAGGCCATAGTGATGCCCCGTCATAAATCAGGTTCACTATATGACGTAAAAAACTATCGACCGATTAGTCACACATCAGTATTGTCTAAAATGATGGAGCGACATGTAAAGTCGAAAACGCTTGAATTCCTATTAACTCGAAACTTAGTAAACAATTCACAGCATGGATTCCTGAACTCCAGGTCCTGCATCACTTGTCACTTAGAATTTTTAAATCACCTTGTCAGTTCACACGATCGTGGCTTATCGGCAATCGTCATCTATCTCGACATGCAAAAAGCTTTCGATCGCGTACCTCATAGTCGCCTACTAGCTAAGCTCCAAACCTACGGTATAAAGGACCCCTTACTGGCTTGGTTTAGCTCATATCTCTCAGATCGCTCCCAGATAGTACAAATCCAACAACATAAATCTCAACCAAAGGCTGTTACCAGTGGGGTGGTACAAGGCAGTGTTCTTGGTCCATTGCTATTTCTACTTTACGTTAACGACGTCTTCAGCGTAATTAAATGCGGCACACCTTATCTTTTCGCCGATGACATCAAAATAGTGTACTCCTTCCATCCTACCAACCTCAGCAATACTCTAATGGAAATCCAACTGGACCTCCATGCGCTTGAGGCTTGGTGCAACACATGGAAAATGTCTTTCAGCACTGACAAATGTAGCGCGATGTTATACAGATGCAATGTTAAGCACAATGCTCTGACCCTAGCTAGCAAACCACTTACTATCTGTGAGACCATCTGTGACCTAGGGCTTCGTTACTCATATTCCCTTAACTTCTCAGAACAAGCATTTTATGCAACAGCCAGAGCTAAACAACGCATTGCATTACTATTTAAAAATCTTACTCTACGAGATTCGATTTGTTTAATGTATGAATCATTCGCCCGCCCTTTACTTGAATATTGCTCAATGGTGCATAGCAATTCCAGGAAGCATGATCGTATCGCCATAGAAAAGGTACAAAGAGCGTTTACAAAGCGCCTTATTGGTACGAGCTTAGTGTTACCCTATTCTGAGCGATGCGACTTACTTAAGCTTGACCCAATATGGCTTCGACGCCTAAAAGTAAACTTAGCACTTTTTTCAATATCCTGCACAAAAATGTCCACACCCCTAGCATTGATCTATCACTCATGAAACCAAATGGATACAATACACGCAATAGAGAAAATTCTGTGATGGTAAGAAGGTCAAAGACAAACATATCAGCAAACTTTTTCCTAAATCGGTACTCCCGTATTGGGAACAAATTGCCGATCGATATTCGTACTAGCACATCTGAGTAGAACTTTCGTAGAAAGCTTGACGAATATCTTACAGTCAGCAATGTGATTATGCTCCTGCGCTGCCCAACAACTATTCAACGAACGTATGAACAAGGTCCAGACAACATATAACTGAAAGTTGCAAATGACTGTATCCGTCAGATCAACATACACCCGTTGATTCCCTGCTTACCCTTCTCTTTTATTGCCCACTCCTGATCTGCCTGCCCGAAAGCTCACCGCTGATTAGTGGCTCCACTGATACATCGATGGGTTGGAGGTCCAGGCTTCTGTTATCCTCTTCATCCCATCTTGGCTCACTATACTTTCCCTTGATTTTACTTGGCTCCACTGCAACCATGTGTCAGTTGAATCACTGGCAACTTGGTTAGCTGGACTCCCAAATCCGGTTAACTATCACTCCAATCGTAACTTCACTTCCGTTTCACCCGCTGGCACACCTACCATTCATTTGTGAAAGCACTGACGCTTTGGTAGGTAAAGCACCCGGATCCTTTCTTTACGTCTTCAACCCACCTTGCTCCCCAACACTTAGCTTCGATTTTCACTTGACCATATCTTGCTGGTGAATCAACCGACACATTGTCAACATCGATATGTTTGCCACTCAGGACTACTGTAACCTCGTAAACATATCACTGGCGTTCTGTTGGACCAATTCCCTGCATAATCAAACTCCTAGCGCAGTTAGCCAAACTACTAAAGGTTCGGCATTCTTGTTCACAGCCCACAACCCACACAGCTTAAGTAATCCGAAATCCGTATTGTGCCTCCTAATTGTAAACAACATCTGCAATACAATAATAAGGTAGTTGCTTAAATATTTCCCTTTTTCACTGTGCAGTAATGTGGGCTTATTTTTCCCTATTAGCCAGACCCATACTGCTGTTCCTTATGCTGAGTCCAGAAATTAGGTTGCGAGACCCTCTCCACACTGTATTATTCTCGATTCCACACATGTACATAATTCCCTAGGAAGTTTTTGGCCTCCATCGCACTAATACTTACTAATAATTGCTATTTCCCTTCTATTTACGTTGATCCGGACCACAACTCGTTCGACGGTACGATGAGATACTTGCTACTGAAGAAAGTTGGATCTGCATAAGAATAAATTACAACTTGTATCCAATCCCACTCAATACGAATCTCCTCGCATCCGATAAACAATTTCAGTTTCCGAGAAAACTAGTACATAATGATCGGTCCAGGGTCTCTGGAACGTGTCTCACCTTTCTGAGAAATATACCTATTATTATTATTATTATCATCATCATCATCGTTTATTACGAGCAAAATGCAGGTGCTTGTTAAATCCCATACGTTTGTTTGGATGGACATATTTTTCCACGTCTGCATTACGTGACGCTTAGTAGGCTTGCGTCTACAGAGGCGATTTTTCTGGATCTCCATGAATATTCTTTACCTTCACCTTCTTTCTTTTTCTCAGCGATTCCGAACTTGCTCAGATTCCAGCTCTACTTCTTCAGCGACTGAAGCATAAGGTCCCTCAGGTATTAAACCGGCTCATTCAACTACTCTCCGGTCGTTTGTTGGGCAATATCACTCACTACAGCGGAGCGAGTCACCTCGGTATCGGCTTTGGGGTATCTCGGATTTCAGATGCCACCCATTACCCCAGCATTACTCCAGACCTTAAATCTGATTCCGCCGCGTTCCCTCAGCTGACAAAGATGACCATGTCGAATCTACGCACCATCGCCATTCTGCCGACCGCGAGTTCAATTAGCGCCGAGGCATTTACTTTGGAGTTGCAGCATTCACTTACCCCCATGGGATCTTCGGTCCGTCTGACGTCAGGTATGTGTCCACCTTGAATGCACTTACACTTTGATTGCTAGTGAGCCTGTGCAACCCAATTCAGTTTGTCTAATCAACCATTTATTTTACGGTGCATATAAGTGCAGCTCTCTTAACTGACACTACTATCACAATGTTACCACACAACACAACCCGTATTATCGGTCGCGAAACACAAACAAGGTGACAGCTACAAGAGTGACCAAACGAAGCTCTACGACATTTAGATGAAGGAGTTGGAGATCATAAGCCAAGGAGCGTATATACGTTAATGGCCGCATCACGTCCGGTCTGATTTCTGCCTCTCGATCCAGCCGAGCCCGAGATATGTACATTAGAGGACAGCTTATGTCAGCTTAACAGGGTCTGCTCATAACGTCCGTTATGCTTTGCCCTTTCTCCCGGTTAGATCCAGTATCGTCGAACGGTGCAAACCGATACATCCGATTCGCTTGTCCGGGCTCAACAGCCAGTCCATTGTGGCAAATTTAATTGTATGCAACCCCATTGAAACAACGAAAGCGGTTACAAGAACAACAAAACTATCTGTGACCTGCCAATACTCTGCTCATTTCTCAGGTTCTCGCCTTGTCGTAAAGAACCTTTAACTCATAGTAAATTGGGACTCACAGATGTGAGATAACATTGTCAGTAGGTATTTGTTATCGGAATCTAACACTAAAGAAAGGCACATCCTACGGTGTTTTCAACTGCTGCAATGAGTTTGATTCCATTATCAGCCCCGGCAAAGTGTTCTAAACATTGACCACTCACTGTTCAAAACAGAGTATGAGAAATTCTTTTCAGTTTTGGCACCACAAGCTTGTACCGGTGTCCGCGTTTGCTGCACGATGTTCATAATTGGAGCAGTTGCCTTGGGGAAGTATCCTAGATCTCGAATGCAGTAGGTCATGATGAGGTCTATCCGTACCCTACGATAGGCCAGGGTCCTGGTCTCTCGTAGACTTGGGGTGGGCCGAGTAGCGATGTGTTGCACCTCTTCGGTCTTCTGCACCTTGCTTCGGGTGGTCGGGGAATCGCCGAGCGAGCCATACTCCAGTATTTAACTTATGATGTAAGCGGGGAGGCGAGTGGCAACCGCGTCAGACCAGACCCAGAAACTGAGTACCCAGAGCATGGCAGTCCGTTTTGGTGTAGCTTGATCATGATGTCCACGGTCGTTAGGTTGCAGCGTAAGAACATGTCTGGGCCCTTCACGGAACACGTAGGATGTAGGCTCTAAGTTCGGCCGTCATTACCCTTCCCAAGACTCATAAATATCGATTTGATTGGGTTGACCGAGTGTTGGACTTCTGTAGATAACGTGGAAGTGCTTATCACTTTCCACATCTTCAGGTCATCTATAAACGTAGCACACGGTGATCGGTGAAGCTGATGTAGATGGTTGATGCATATCAAGAACAATGTAGGCCCCAGTACCGTGCCTTGCGGTACGGCGCTGGTAGGGGGATACCAACCCGTCTGATGGGTATTGACTTGTACCCTTCACTTTCGTCCAACGGGAAACTCGCGCATCCACTGGTGCAGTGAGCCATCAGCACGGCATACAGCCTGGGGAGGGGAATCTTGCCAGACGCTTTGCTAAAATCGATGTAGCACACGTCGACAGGTTTTCCTTCGTTCGCTACTTGCGACCATTTACGCCTTGTCACCGGCAGATTGTAATGCGTGGACAACGTGGCATGAGACCGTACTCTGCAACCTTTTGGAAATCATTTTGCCGGAACGGCTGTAGCAAGCTCTTCTTCACGACATTCTCGGCTAACTTGGCAAAAATAGGTGTCAAACGAATTTGCCTGAAATTGTCTACTTTTTTGGAGTCACTGCCTCTCTGAAACGGCTTTACCACCCAGCATTTCCAAACAATGTGCGACGATTTTCGGACAGCGACCTGTTGAGCAGATGAGTCACGGCAGGCGAGATGATAGCCGATAATGACTTGAGAATCAGTGTTTGGAGCACCTTAGTCCCAGCAGGCTTGGTGTCTTCAAGGTTGGTGAGTAGTTGACACACCACTACAATGCCACAACCCGTGCTGTTCGGTGAACGTCTAGCTCGGTACAGACACCATTGATCTACAAATGCGGAAGCAACGTGTGCAGCCAACGCGCACTCACGCTCAGTGCTTGAGACTAAACGCTGTCCGTCCGAGCCCCCTATCGCTGGTTGGTCACCTACTGGTTCCAGGCGCCGCTTCACATAAGCTGCGATTTTCTTATGGGCCATCGTCGTGGTGATTGCAACCTGCTCTTCGAAATTCTGGCACTTGCATGTTATCGAACTGCTGCGGATAGTTCGCTACTTTTTCTACGCCTCGTAATCGTCTACCGATCTCGAGAGTAGAAGTTGTCCCACACTTCACATCCGCCCAACTTTTTTCTATTATTCCTTGTCGGAACAAGGTGGCTTGAAGGGCACGAACCGGTTACACAATGAGTTTACTCCATCCTTTATTACTGGCCGGCAACCTACAGCAAAATCGGTTTGCGTTATAGACCAATCCACTTGACTCATTGCTCGAATTAGGCCGTCAAAGTTATTTTTTCAGTAATTCTAGGCTAACTTCATCGAACGGGAGTAAGACAAATGCACTTCCACGCTGGCTGTGAGCACTGAGTGCTCGCTGTCTTCCAGAGGCCCAAGGATCCTAATGTCATACACATTTTGTTTACAGGTGGTTACAACCAAGTCTAACCATGATGGAGTTAAACGCGGTGTTATGCGCGTCGGTGGGCAGATGTGTTGTGCTGCCCAAATTTCAAGTACCATTTCAGCGATCTTTGCTCAGCTTCACAATATCACGGGATAAGTTGAACTTCAGGCCAGCGTACTCTAGGACAATTGAACTCGCCTATGATTAGAAAATGTATTTGACTCATGTGTTTCCGGAAGTGCGGCAGCCAATCCTAACAACAGATCAGGAGACCGTGATAAAATGCATCCACGTGCAACACCGCGCCTGAGGTGTAATGAGCATCATAGCTCAACACATAGCCCATCGTCTCCCCCACATGGAAGAGCGAATGTAGACGCTACCGCGGGATTCGATAGCCAATCTGAGCAGAAGTACAAGTGGCCACAAAGCTAATTTTCCTGAGTGAGACCTCGTCATTTAGCTACTTCACTGCGCGTCCCACCACCTTCGGTCGCTTAAAAGCACCGATGCACCACAGCTCATCATGCTTTCTCATGAGACTGCAGACGTTGGTAAAGGCTACACGAAGGCCGCCGTCCGAACTACCGGACATGCCTGAAGATTAAGCGACCTATTTACCCGAATTCTGTTCGTATTGCAATCAAACGAAAATTCACAATGCGTAGGTTTGTTTTCCCCTCACTAGTTCGTCGCTTTAGCTCGATGATAGCCCGCTTGAGACGCTACCTGTCTGCTGGATCGATATCCGGACGAATATGCACCCTATCGTTTCTCAATCTACTCAGCCGAGACCGTATTAGCTTCGGGCTGACCTCGTCGGCGAACGTTACCCTGCCAGATCGCTTTTCTCCAGCAGTTTTTGTATTTGCAGATGACTTGCTTCACTTTCACACCGTCCTCACTTGCGTCGACGAGCCTATCAACCAGGCTCTGTTAAATCTATACGTCGCGATCATAGCGTCTGAGGACTTGGATCGGTGAACTCAAGCGCTTGTTAAACCATCCGCTTGGATCGAATTTTATCAGCCGAAGTGATTCCTGTGGGAGGAGGGTGCTCCTTACTAAAAGCAGGTAACTTATCATGTTGTTAATCCATTAGCCAAAATAGACATTGCGTCTCTTCGCACTCTCTGGAACTTATCGATGCTCGCCTACATATTTCGGCTGGAAGCGAACACGACTTGACTCGCAAAGTCATCAGAACAAAATTCCGTGCTAGCCTGAGGAGAGACCGCGAATCCTGGTGGTCTCATCGTGCGTCACAGATGGATGTGGCCGCTGCCCTTGGTAACCATCATAAGTTGTTTAGTCTGATACGGGAATTGGCTTGCCGAACTTCCTCTTCGCGGTGCCAGCTGGATAGATCGGGTTTGCCTCGTTCCAACGAGAATTTCGGCGGCACTGTTCCAGGACGTAGTGGGTTTTTGTCTGGCAAGCGTTCTCTATATAAAAAGCAATATATGTCCGTTTATCAACTCTGTGACGTGGCAGATGTGACTCGCCACCAAATTAAGTCACCGCCCATTGCTTTGCTTCCGCAAAGCATTTTAGTTCCTCAGATGAGATCTGGATCTTTGGGTGGCCTGGACGCCAGTTTGGCATGTGGTCGAACAAAAGGCGTATGAACCGTGCTATCGGTCACCGGCTCCCAGTGGACGCTATCTCCTGACTTCGCCTCGCTGTCTTCCAGTTAGGCTATTGAGCCAAAAACTCGGTGCAGAGTCTCCTAAGTCAACTCTCTACCTCGGCCTGCGCAACCGGATAGCATCATTTCCGCTGAAAAACCATGGATTTACCTTCCTTTCACACTTCCGCTACTGCTGTTTTCGCCGTTCGCCAACTTTCATTACACACCAACACTTCATTTGTTATCAATCCTACCTACGTTGATTCTGCCTCCGATCCCGGTTTTGCCGACACCCGAGAAGCTCAATCGACAGCCATATTTCAACCTCGATCGATGTTCCGATTGGCCTGCTTCAACGTACGAACGCTTATGCAGATTGGTCAACACGCCGGCCTGGCCCGCACCCTGGAGTCTCTCGTTATTGACGTTTATTGCATTTCCGAAACCCGGTTGCAGGATTCCAGTAGTGTACTTAGACTGCCATCCCCTTCTGATCGCGCAACCATATACTAACTGCGTCTATCCACTGACGCAGAAGCAGCTGCAGCAGGTTTGTCTGGCGTTGGGATAGTGCTAAGTAAGAAAGCCGAGGGTGCCTTGCTTGACTGGTTACCAGTTAACAGTCGGATTTGCGCAGTTCGGCTTCAGGGATCATGTCATATCAACAGACATCGCAAAGAAACAAGCAATTTGTTT